CGCTGTTTTATCTTAATGTTTTTATTATACTGAGGACACAAAATCACAAATGAAATGATATCTGAAAAACCTAATATATTAAGTGCTTTAAAAAATGTATATGATGCTTAAAAATAATATTTTAAATATATTATTATGTAAAATATTTTTTAAAATAGTATTATGTTGAATCCTTCAAAGAGGAAGGCTAGAAGAGGAATTTTAAGGAAAATCAAAAATATTTATTAAAAATTATTCATTCCATTGTATTTCTTGTATATTAAGAAAATAAATCTTTAAATAGTAAAATTTAATAAAAAGTAAAGAGTTTTAACACTGATTTTTAATTTTTACATTCTGGAAGGTCTAAAAAAAGGTAAGTGATCAATCTGAAAAGCCGTAATTTAATATACATTACCTGACAAAAAATTTAGATAATAGAAATAAATTATATCCATACTTTGAAATTATTCTAATTTCTTAAATAATAAAAGCATTATTTTATAATATATTAAACGTATAAAAATTAAATATATTATAAAATTAAATATTAATATATTTCAGATGATATTTTAAAATTTAATAACTTATATAATATTTGATGGAAAATTTCCTAAATTAATAAAATTGAAGACATAAAATTAATAAATAAAGTTATTATATGATTGCATTTTATCGATTCAATTTTTTTATTATCGTCATATAAGATAGAGAGCTTCAATATGTGATGAACTTTTATGTAATTTTTCAGTTCAGTTCAATAAATAGGAAATGATGAATCAATAGAAGTAGCTTTGTATTATATGAATTTAACTTCAATGGATTTCTTCTTCCCTGTTTCAGAACCCAATTTCTCGAAGATAGTCTATATCCTTCATCTTCTATCTTCTAAATTTCTTTGGATTTTTCTTTGGATTTTTCTTGGATTTTATGGATTCCATTACCCCTTAAGTTTAAATCATAATTGTCAGTTTAATCTAAGTTTGTCTATTATAAAATTTAATAATAATAGTTTATATATTATTATATCTGTTAAAAATTATATTTTTCTAACAATTTTAACTTCTTCGCCATGAAAATTAAATAATTAAAAAGTTTCTTTTATATATTATAAATGAGTAATTTGATTTTCTTTTAGAATACAGTTTAATTAAAATGCATTTTTTAAACATTTTTTTTACGCAAGAAAAATTTGTTGAAATATTATTCTTTTGTAAGTAATTTTATGAAAATTTAATAAAACATTAAATCGATAAGAGTTGTTTTAATGGGATTATAATATGAATTTATTATGCAATTATTTAGCACAAAAGGCAAAATATTATGACAATGGAAGCTAGCGAAATGATTATCCAGAATAATTCATTACCGGATGACCTATCAGACCAGGAACTATCAGTCTCTATCTTAACGTTCTGTACGAGCGTTAAGTAATGTGACAGTTTATCAGTTCGCTCCTTATCATTGGCTGTGGTGAGAAGAGGATTATCATTCTTACTACTTTTTTATGGATATCGATTGTAGTGATCATCCAAAGCCTCACTAACAGCACAAAGGGATCAATGTTTAGCAGAACTGACACACGGAGATCAATGTGTAGCAGAACAGACACGAAGTCTTCTTATCTTCCTTCCTCTGATGATCACAACGATTATCTGTGTATAAGTGGCAATGGCCTAACCAGCGTTTAGATGGATAAAAAAGTCGAAGAGAGAAATGAGAATCAATCATTCTAAATGACTAAGCTTTGACCATAACGATGTTTTCTTGTTACTGACGATATCAGTAACAATGATGCAGTTCTTAACGATATAAGATACATTTTTTCCTTTTGTGGGACATATTTATGAAAGCATAAAATTTTTAATATTAAATTTATCCCGTACAAATATTTTATACAAATGTAACAAAATCATGCACAACTAGCAACATAAAATGCTTCCATTTAACTGACCCTTTTCCAATATAAACTTATTTATTAATACACTACGCCAACGTTTTATCCAAGTAATTCTGAATCATATATATAAAAAATGATATTAATATTTAACTCTGGAAATTACATCATATTAATCTGTTAGCTTATTAAACGGATTGTTGCCCCATATCCTCTATCACGCTAAGATACTTTATCATTCGATTTGTTATGATTGAGTTACACTTAACCACGTGGTAGTTAAGTATAACTCACGTGGCTAGAGAGCAGAGGGCGCTCAATCCAAGCTTGTATATCTCCAGTCAATCTGATCAGGTCGGCGTGCAGCCTCTAGATGCTCTCAGTCTGCCACTGAAGGCGTTGGAAAAAGGACGACTACTTACTTTTTCCTTTAATACAGGTGCATACTTCGTTTGCTGTGTGATATTGCTCTATCTATCAAACATTATATCACGATTCAGATGGGATAGTGTGCATATACTTAAAGAAAAAAATATTTTAAATGTGGACCACGTGATGGAGTTGTTGCTATTTATCGTTTTCGGTTTATAAAAACTGGAAAGATAAATTTCTGATTAAGTAATGATGGATATGGGAAGTGTGCTAATTCAGTTATTAATATTAACTACTCACAGAGGTAAGTTTCCGTTACTTTTAATTAATTTCTGGTTGAAGTCATTAATTAGGAAATTAATTTTTAGTTTTTATGATGATCATGTAATTTTTTAATGTTTACTTTTTTCTGTTTAAAACTGTTAATTGAGTTTTGATGCTATTTTAGTACATAAATTTATACACTTTTTTTAAGTGGTAAGAGTTTTGATGTGTTTTTTCCAGTTTTGTTTACGATTTTATCAAGGATGAATGTAAATCAGCTTTATACAAATGCATATATTTAACGGATTACAGACGAACTTTAAAATATAAAATTTAAGTAAAACGTAAATCTTATTGAATAAAACTTTAAAATTTTACAAAAATCAAATAAACTTTTATTTTTATTATTATTATTTTTTTACTTACAAAATTTACTAAACTATACAAACTATTCACGAAGTTTCTATAGAAAATCTTATATCCTTATAAATTTCGTGTATAAAAAAGTTGTTTTTAAAACCAAAATAATTTTTGTATCGATTTTTTTAGAAAAAGAAATAAAAATCGACTAAAAAAAGAAATTTTTAAAAGAAGAATAATAATAGAAAAAAATGCATATATATTAAAAAAGCAAATTTACATAAAATTGCCTATTAAAATACAATACAACGAGAAAAAATTATTTTAAAATAAAAACTTTTATTTTAAAAAAGTTTATATTTAGAAATTATATATATTGTAAAATTTAATTAACATTAATTACTTAATATTTTCGAAATAAAATATAAATTCGTGGGGGAAAAAGCCAGTTAATTTTTAAACTAAACATTTTAAAGAGCCAATCAAAATGGAATATAGCTGCTAAGATACAAACCTGCAGGTGACAACTATTCATCTCTAGAGTGAGATGTGAAGTCTTTTCTGCAGACAAATAAGAAGGCATGGAACGGACTTTACAGGGTACAGCTTTCTTAGCTCACAATTCTGTAAGCGCTTTGTTCGAGAACATATGATAAAAAAAAAAAGAAGGAAGACAGAAAATAAAATAAACCAACTTGATTTCTCAAAGTAACCCCAAAAAAATATTTTGAACGTACATAACGATTTTTTAGAATAGCATAAGAAAATGCATTTATTTAGCTATATTTAGAAACCATTAAATCAAATTCGCTGCATACTTTATCCGATTTATAGCTTCGATTAACGTGTAAATGTCTTAAAATATGATAGCTTTTTTTCCTTTTTTTTTTTAATCCAAAATTTATCAGAAAGTTAAAATTTTCTGATGTCAACTTGTCAGTTTTTTTCCCTCCCTCTCCTCTTACTTTTTTTTTAAATTTAAAGAAAGTGACAGTTAAATATTCGTGCTTTTTAAGTTCATGTAAAATATAGTGAATTTAATATATAATTTATTAATTTTTATTTATTATATATATATAATATATATATAAATATCTATATAAATATCTTTAACTTTTAACAAGAGAAACAGTTCAGCTTTATCCAGTTTCTATTTGTTTCGTTTCGAGTCTAATGCCTTTCCGAGCAATACAAGTGTGGTTACTTCAACCGAATGAAAACTAGATTAGAAAACATTCTTCTAAATAGTTAACTACTCCAAAAGAAATAAATTGTAACATAAGCTTCTAATAAATTCTACAAATTTTAATGTGTTTATAAGAAATAAACACCTTAAAACTCGAACTGACTCTTATATTATTTACAACAGATTTTTTTTAAAATATAAGAAACTCAAAAGAAAATCTAAAGTATTTTTCAATACAATATTTATATAAAATTATCTTAAATTTTTATATATTTTAAAGTAAATTTTGAAAAATAATACATTTATTATATCGCGTTTATAAAATTTATCATTATAAATTCATTTCAATATTTTCTAGAAACTATCTAGAATATCTTCAAATGAATTTATAATAATGTATTTTATAAATAATCTAAAAATCCATATCTTACTGGGAATATATCATTTTCTATATAATTTTATGAGGATTATAATGTAAATGTATAGGAAATTCTAACAAATTTCTAGATAATTTTATTTAGCTTATCAGAAAATTTTTTTTTGAAAATTTATGTTTATACTTCATAAATTTTCACAAAAGTAATGAGGTAAAAAAACTAGTTCGAATATTTCTTAGATAAATTGCTAAAAAACATTGCAAAGTTATCTAAAAGTGATAAAAATTTATGCTAATATCATAAAAAACATATTTCTAAATATAATTTTTTCGAGCGATTTAACATGTTTATGATCCGTTGGAAGTTTATTTTATTTTTTTTTAAATATAAATTTAAGTTTACTAGTTTAAAGTATATAAATATATACTTTCTTATCCGATTTTTTAAAGTAATTTATATAAAATTTAATCGTATTCTTCTGAATATATCGGGAGAAACTTTAATTACATCTATAAATTTAATAGACATTATCCCTAAAAATTTACTGTAAGCTTTTCAATTATTCTTCATTTATCTTAAATACTAGGATTAAGGAAATGACGATAATATTGATCCGAAATTATTATTTTGTAATTATCTAGATAAAGGAAAATTCTGAAATGATAAAATTGAAATATCATTAATAAGAGATTAAGTTTTGTTATATTTGCATATTTAGATTAATTACATTTGTAAGTGCGTAAAGATAACACCATTCTTTGAAATTTGTTTTAAATGTCATAAAAATCAAAATATACATGAGGAATTTTTTTTGTATGAAAATGTCTTATTTCTTTTTTATAGTTATATATTCACACGTGTCATTCTTATATTGAAAATATTATTGTTTGTAATATTCCATCTCGAAACTGGACGTTTCTACTTGTANGATGTCTTTGATCTCTCAACAAAGTTGATCGATATGAACCGTTTGATTGGAAAGTAAACGTTGGTTAATGCCACATAAGTGGTTGAACAATGCTTTATCAACAAGGTTAACATTTCTACTTATATTTACTAATTGTTTAATAACACCTCTAAAAAGAGAATTAATTACAAAAAACCTAACACGTGTTTACATTACTCTTTTTAATAGTTTAAGTAATAAGAAAACATATTTATTATTATTATTACTTTTTAAATAATTTTACTTAAAAAAATCACTTTTTTATGATGTGAAGGTGTTTTGATGACGTGATAAAGGACAAGTTTAACGATAGTGTTCGGGTAATTATGAATGATACCCGAACTATGGAATGACAAGTATCCTTTTGTGTTAATCTAATCATACTAGATGTCATTTGTCGTCATAGTAATCCCTATTGTGTAAGTGATGTGTCAGAAACACCTACTTGGCTGAAAATTGTGTAATGTTTTCCCATTTCGATTCAGAATTAACAAAGTTGGCTTCTGGCAAATGTTAAATGTATTAATCTCCTATGCACAATATGAGTTTGATGGAATAGACAGCTACTCCCTTCTCTGCATTATAATATTCAATATTGTCCGTTTGAATTAGAACAATTATTAATGTCGAAAATTATAAAGTTTCCATTTATTAGTATTTTATACATTATATTACTCGTATAGAAATCCATTATAACGAAATTATACAAGCACAAAATCTTCGATACGTAGTTAATTTATCTTAATCAATGTTGAATTATATATTATTATAGAATTGATAAGTTTTTGATCAAACCACATTGCATTATTACATAGGACTGTTCGAACGGTTGAAACAATGCACACTTTTACGTCAATTTGACGTCACTTTTTCGAATTGTTCATTGTGAAACTGAAGAAATGACGTTAAATTGACGTAAAAAATATACACTATTCAATCAAACGAATATATTTATAATTTATACTTTTGCAGATTTAATTTATAAAAAATTTTTAATAAAAAAAATTAATCAAAATAACAACATAAAGAAGTTTGTATGTATTATTTATATGGCTTGGAGACATTAAAATGTAATATTTTTGCTATGTCATAGGCATGACACACGCAGTTCCATAGTAATAAAAACAAGCTTTGTGCAATTCTCGAGAGACTTGTAACATCTTAGAATAGGGTCTCTTGTATATCTAAATCAAAACTATGTTAGCATCACACTCATAAACCGAGTGGTGCACGTAGTTAGGACAAAAAGTCTGGAGTTGCTTAGAACCAATCGGCCTTTGATGTCCCTGTAGACCATTACGCTGGTAGATAAGTACAGCAAGACCAATGCGTAGAAAGAGATCAGTTGTGTGTACACGACCTGGTCATCAGACTAATGAGGTTTTAGTTGTCTGGAAAGTGGTCAAGGAAACCAATTAGAAAGACTGCAGCTGTCAGCCTGTCTACACTAATCATGGCAAATGGTTGTTGAGGACGAAAACTTCCTTATACACGTGTACTATTCTTTAACCCAACTCTTAACTGGAAATGTTTATTTTACGTAACGATATTATAGTTAATGGTAGTCGGCTGTGTTCTAACCGCATCTGTAGTAGAAAGATAAAAAGAGGAAAATAAAAAATAAATAACTTTAAAAAGAATCAATGCAACGAAACGAATTTTCATTTCTTTTACTCCGTTTTACATTTTTCGACATTGGCTATTGGTAACTGTAGAATATGGACATTTTTGTCCATTTTTAAAGAATTTTCTGGACAAAATATGATAATATCCCATGAAAAACTATTTTGCGTATCGAAAAAGCAGACAGCTTTGAAAGATTGGAAACAGTAAGAATAAAATTGTCGTTTATATTCTATAAGCATCGAATTCTTTGTTTAGNTTTAAGTGTAGAATTAATGATTTTAAACAGTAACAGGTTATGAATAGATCATTTATTTTATGAAAGAAAAATTTCGTTTTCTTTTATCGATTCGGACGAAAAAACTGTTAACACGAATCACCTCGAGTCTTCGAAAAGTTTTGTATAAAAATTTGAAAAAAAGTATAATTTTTTAAAATATAAAACCCATTAATAAAGTCTGCTTCGGATAGATTTTCTATTATAGCAAAATTATGACATTTTTAAAAAAAAGAATTGTTCTTATAGTTTGTTGGTTTCATTCCTTTTTGTCAACAGTCTTTCCATCAGAAATCACCATTCTATCCAAAGGAACACCCGCAGTTTGTTCGATGATCTAACGGTCTTGGAAGAGTCACTAATAATACACCTTCTTCACTAATGGCTCAATCAGCCAAGTAATGATTTCTACTCCTGGTATACTGTCAGCTATTTGCTGGACTGCACATCGGTCTCCCTTCTTGTCGATAGCGGGATGTGCTGTCAACCAGAAACACCCATCAATGATGTGAAAAATTTTCCACTTCTCTGAGTTTCTTCCTTGTTATTTTTTGCCCGCCGGACTTGTCCGATAAAAGAAATTGTGCTTAAGACCACAGTCCGTCACAGAATGTATGTGATTGAAATAGCTCGACTTTGATCGAAAATGGCTCCTAACCTTTTGCGCCAAACAATTCTATGAATAAAAATCCCTCCCCTAAATATACAGCATTTGTTTGTAAATTATAGTTTAGCGGCATACAAACATATATATTCGTGTAGCTATACATTTAATCGAATGCTCTTCGAGTGTTTGATAGCTGTATTTGTTACATCTGCGGCAGATATTTCTGGAATTTTCACTTCATGATAAGTTTATTCAGCAGCAAATAGTATCTTATGACTCAATAATTTAATGTTTAACGTTTTCTAATAATTAACTAATTTACTATCGTAACATCATGATAATAAAGATTGCATATCAAATAACATTATAACATTCATTATATTTAATTATTAAATCAGCCACATAGAACTGGTGAATTACTATACTTTATACAAGATAACGTTCTATACTGTAATATTTACATATAGCTGTTAGAAAGATAAATTATGTACAGAATATCTTCTAAGTATGTAATAAAGTCAAAATTTATAGTTCTAATTTTACATTTTGTAAAGAATTTCTTATTTTCTTATTCATAATTCTTGAATTTTATAAAAATTCCTAAGAATTTATATAAAATTAAACACATTTTACATTAATTGAGTAGATTTTTATATAATTCTATGTAAAAATAATGTTGTTCATAATTTTTAATAGTATACATTTATAAATATTTTAGAAATTTATCTTGCGAATTAAATGTTAATTTTCTTTGATTAACCGGAAATTTCGGTTTTTCCTTTACGGATAATAGAGATTTAACTGCGTGAATTAACTAAATAATTATATTACTATTGAAACTAATATATTTAATTCGATATGAAATTTTTAACTAGATATTAGGCCTATACTTTATGTAAAAGTTTAAAAAGCATATTCAAGTTTTATAAAATAATATTAATTTATTATAAAATTTATTAAAATGTATTATAATTTTTAATATTAAGCATATAAAATTCTATTATAAAAAAGTTATATGAGAAAAAATTCAAAATGTAATGAGCTACAATAAAATAATTGAAGTAAGTATTCAGTTTAATAAGCAATAATTTGTTTAAAGTTTGAATAAATATTTAAAAATATACCAAAGTTGAAAATTATGTTTAACCGGAGGTGATAAACAATTTAACTAAAGATTGAAAAGCTATTAAAAGTTTTACTTGCAATTTTTGACTCATTTTAAAGTCGAAAAGTTTTAAAGTAAGGATTTATCGAAAGGATTAACGCTTTTATTCACTAAAACAATGAATTTATGATTCACATTTCCGTTTATTACCTATTATATCACTAAATAATTAATTATCAACGATATTTTATACATAAATACAGTTTATGATTAATTGAAGAAACCTTTTTGTAATATTCTTATCTAATGACATCTTATAATGATTATACAGAAAATTACATACTGAAGATAGATATAATTTCATCTTTTCTCGGTTTGTATGTTTAGAAATAGGAAATTTTTTTTCTTTCTTACTCAAAAAACCTTAACGTTCACGACCCATTGAATCGAAAATTAATGATGAACAAAGATGCAGATGCGTGAAGAAACAACGATGAGTCCTAACGATAATATTTAAAAATTAAAAGAAAACTATCAGACAACTAATTATTTAATAAAAAGAAAAAAAAACATTTAAATTTCCCTCCTACTATAATTTATTAAGTAAAATAAGTAATTTAAGTTTCAGATAAAGAGAATTTGTTTATCTTTATTATATAAAAGGTATATTAAATTTTCTTTATAAATGGAAATAAGTTTGATTATTTTATTTTGTGGATTTTAATAATAATAATAATATCTGTAGTCAACAGATGTCAACACATACTATTTACCTGAATATAGAAGTAATAACGTTATAACTTCTGTAAATGATAATAATGTCGAGAAATTTACACATGAATGAACATTAATGAAAATTTATTTAGTTTTGCAAAATATTTTAAAATATTTGTAATAATTTCCTAAATTAATTTTGTTATGCAAATTAGTGCATACTAGATGGCATTAAGATGATATTTGAATTCTTACAGATAAAGTTTTAAAATGAATTAAAATTTTTAAATTTTTATATTTTATTAATAAAAAGATGAATATGGAATTTCGAATATTTTTTTAAGTGTAGAATTAATGATTTTAAACAGTAACAGGTTATGAATAGATCACTTATTTTATGAAAGAAAAATTTCGTTTTCTTTTATCGATTCGGACGAAAAAACTGTTAACACGAATCACCTCGAGTCTTCGAAAAGTTTTGTATAAAAATTTGAAAAAAAGTATAATTTTTTAAAATATAAAACCCATTAATAAAGTCTGCTTCGGATAGATTTTCTATTATAGCAAAATTATGACATTTTTAAAAAAAGAATTGTTCTTATAGTTTGTTGGTTTCATTCCTTTTTGTCAACAGTCTTTCCATCAGAAATCACCATTCTATCCAAAGGAACACCCGCAGTTTGTTCGATGATCTAACGGTCTTGGAAGAGTCACTAATAATACACCTTCTTCACTAATGGCTCAATCAGCCAAGTAATGATTTCTACTCCTGGTATACTGTCAGCTATTTGCTGGACTGCACATCGGTCTCCCTTCTTGTCGATAGCGGGATGTGCTGTCAACCAGAAACACCCATCAATGATGTGAAAAATTTTCCACTTCTCTGAGTTTCTTCCTTGTTATTTTTTGCCCGCNAAGAAAAATATAAACATTTTCTTAATTTCTAAGAAACGTTGATGAATATTAATTCAAGAAATTTCTAAATAAAATTATTTTATGAGATGTTAATTAAATAACTAATTTCTTATTAGGTAAATTTAACGGATATTGAAGTAAACGTGTGAATATTTTATAAAGTAGAAAGCCTTGGTTATTTAATAAAATAATTAAATATCTTGATCTTTGTTGGGATTTGTGTATAAACGAATGAATCTGACATGGCTGATTTATCATCCTTAATTGTGGCTGTAGTGGCTGTCTTGTGAAGTCTCTTCATCAATCCAATTCCATTCTCACTTTGTTATCCTATTATGTTTTAGATTATTCTCGATAATAAAGATGTTTGGCTGGTATATTTATTTTCTAAGCTGGAAAAATTAAGTTTAACTTCAACAGATGGTTGGGAAGTTTATATAAACAACGTCCTTATAAAACCCTATATATAATTATAATAAAAATAATACAGTATTTGACATATTGCTTATGAAATTGGATTAAATATACAAATTTCTTCTCTTTTACTGGATATCTTTTTCCTATACTTTTTTAACATTTACGCCGATCATCTCAGATATTTTATCATATTATACATCTCTTCAAAAGAATTGAACTAAATGCATATTATTACAGACAATTTCATTGAAAGCTTTGAGATAAAATTATAAAAAAATCACTTTTCGAATTCCATTTCACATCTTATCAATTTTCTTACATTTCATAAACTAGTAATATAGTTTAATTAATGTCTCTTATTTACTTTTCTGTATTATACTTCATTAATAATAAATAACATGAAAATATTCTTATGAGAATATTACATAAAGATATTTTTAAAGGATATATAAATATCTATAAAGTTCTCATAAAGTAATTAATTTATTCATTTAAACTTTTAAAATATTAAAACTTTATTTTAGGATCATGTTTCTCGATAAAATAGCATTTCATTTTACATTTATTTATAAATGAATATTTTAATTTACAGTTTTATGTGCGAGCAGCGCGACAGAAATTCAAAACGGACCAACATTCATTAACGAACCACCAAGCCATGTAGATTTTCATAATACTACTGGCACTGTGATTTCGTGTTCGGCTCAAGGTACACCGACTCCATTAGTATTTTGGACATCGCAAGATGGTACTCCATTAAGAGAAATACCCGGGTTACGTCATGTGAGACCTGACGGTTCATTGGTTTTTCCACCATTTAGAGCGGAAGATTACAGACAAGACGTACACGATGATATATATAGATGTGTGGCATCGAACAGCGTTGGCAACATTTTCAGCAGAGAAGTACAAGTAAGGGCAGGTATGTAAATAAATTACAAGTTAAGAAAATAAATAAATAACGGTAAACAAAACTTACATCATTTACAAATACTGCACATAAATATTTTTACAGATAAAATATATATTCTTGCACAAAATTTCTTATTATACAAATGTAATTTACGATGCTCTAATCGATAATTAATTAAGAAATTTATATTATTTTAATATTAATTTCTTAATTTTCAAATATATTTATAAAAAATATTTTTCTGTGCTTTTATTTGTAAAAATATTTCTATTTTATTGTGTATAAATTTTAAAAATAAATTGTGTAAAATATTTTAGAAAATTAATAAAAATAAAAAAATTACTAAAAAAATTTAATAATGACATTTAAAATAAAACTGAGCTGATTTTTAATTTTTATATTTTAATAAAAACTTCTCAAAATCTTAAACTTTCATATTTTATAATCCAAGTTATATGAATTTTTTAATTACAAATTATTTTT